TTTGGCGCCATTTGGGGTGTCGTTAAAGGCAAACAAACAGACAAATGTACAGACAAATAGATAGACAGACCAAAACTTTTGCGTGAAAGGTCCCCTCGAAAGACTATCGTCCTTAAATAGGCGAGCAAGTTACTATTCGAGCACATATCGGCAGTGCATAACTTTTCACGTATGCGCCGCCACGGTGGTCTAGTAGCTAAGGTACTCAGCTGCTGACTTGCAGGCCGCGAGATGAAAACCTGGCGGCGGCGGCTGCATTTTCGATCGAGGCGAAAATGCTGTAGGCCCGTGTGCTCAGATTTAGGTGCACGTTAAAGAACCACAGGTTGATGCAATTTCCGGAGCCCTCCACTACGGCGTCTCTCATAATCATATGGTGGTTTTGGGACGTCAAACCCCACATATCATCCTTGTCACCCATAGTCCCACACAAGACATACGTCATTCATTGTACTGGTCTCCACAGATGCGCGTGTTATCGTAAGTCTTGTGAATAAACTGAATATAACATTGAAAATAACTCCAGAACAGACGAGTTATAGTGTATAAGGTAAAACTTCGACGCAGTACACATCAACTAAATACTGCGGTTTTATGCGCCAAAGCCGCGATGCGATAATGCCGCGCGCCGTGTATAGTACGTGGGGTGGACTTCGCAATAATCTTGGCCACGTATGGGTTCTTATAACCTGCACCCAAGCCTAAGTATATGTTGTTCTCTGATTTCCCCTCCATAGGAATACATCGAACGGAAATTGAACCCTCGCTCTCAATCAATGCAACACCTGTAATTATAACGTACGGCAGGTATGCATGCGCTGCGGATCGATGTGCACAGAACAAGACGGGCATCGGAGACGAGGTGCCTACTTCTAGCAGGGCATAGTACGCTTTGCCAGGGTCCTTCAACAACCTTTTTTTTTTTTCGACGAAAATTACTGAAGGACGCTCCTCTTGCGTGGGAGATATATAGCCAGAGCTCTCTCACAACAGCGCGAGAGTACCACACGAACCCTTCGCAAAATAGTGAGCACCATTTACATGTACACTTGGCAAGTATCTGTAGATAGGTCTTGCCTGCAAGAATATTTTCTCAACTAAAAGCCTTCGTTACGAGTCTGCTTTTCCTACTCGAAGCACCTTCCCCCTAGCCGGCGAGGGTGCGGAAGCGCCACAGAAACTTTTCAAGAATTACTGCGTGTAAAGCCTAATTGTAAGCTCCCTAGCGAACAAAAAGAAAAGCAAGAAATTAAACGAAGAAAAAGGAAAAAAAGGTGTTGATGAAAAAAAAAAAGGTTTCTGTGCTGGTCTGTTGTCGAGGTTACTCGTTTTGAAAAGTATACTTACTCGCACATGCACACAAACTTGGAAAATTTGGGACTCAAAAAAAGTTATTTCAACCAAAAGCTAAAAAATCGGGAACAAAGAAATTTCAGCCTTCGCATTCCAAATACAAGTAATCACTCCATGGTTGTTAAATGGCAAGGATCTTTTCGTCACAGACGGCAGCGAAGATAACTTACCCCCGTATTCACAAACGCTCATCGACTCGAGTTCCACCCTTCACTTTACAGAGTTGAGCAAGCACTGCGCCACCGCTCGCCTGAAAATGACGCTGCGCTACTCAAGAATCGCAGCAGATTATCGCTGATATGCAGTGACTTGCCGTGCCTACAGAGACGGCGCTTCGATCGGCTTTCTCAAGTGAAGGTGAAACGTTGAGTGAAGGAACTAGAATACGGGGGTTAGTCCCCGTATGCGCTGCCGAAGCGAGCGTGACTGCTTAAGTCGCCAGTACTGCTCAGCAGTGGCAGCAATGGCGATGTTCGAACAGCCAAATGGATGGAACGAACGAATTCACTGATTACCGAAACAGCTTTCACTTTTGGGACGGTTCAAAGTAATGTCGAAATGTGGTGTACTGGACACTCGCGGTCGGAAAGATAAGACCTTCGCGGTTCCGAATGAGAAACACGTCTTGTCAAAAGTTCGAATTAGAAAAAAAAAAGTCACTGGCGCGACTTTATACGGTATACGCTCCTTGCCTTCAGAACGATTATACGCTCTAAGAAAGAAGCATTATTAACCTCCTCCACGATCAGCCACGCGATTATCGCCGTTCAGCCGCAAGCTTGACCCGGAGTGAAAATCGATACCTTCGAGACACCTGCTTGGTCATTAAAAAACCCTATATCAACGATCTTATACGGAAGGCACAGCGCTCACCTACAGCTGTACACCTCACGTCAGCCCCGTGCAAAACCGTCGTTATTCTATGCATACAGTGTACACAAGCTTCCGTGAAGGTGCCCAGCTATATTTAACTGTTGCACGACGCTGTGCTACAGTTTATTAGAACACTCTAGCTGTACCCCGCTGTCTAAACAGTGTAACGCCGCGCGATACCAATTGCTATCAGTGTTATGAAGTGGTAAAGCTTGCCCGTCTGGAAGGTACAAGCGTACACAGTACGCTGGCACACAGTACGCTGGTATAGTTTTCAAAACTATTTACACTATATATGCGTACAACAGCTCTCTATTCTCGCACCATGAGCGGTAATTTATTTTCGTCTATTTTATTATTTCTTTCGTATTTCCCTTATGCACATCATAGTACCAGCACCATGTGTGTAATATAGCCTCCTGTAGAATCTTTTTTCTCTGGATGAAAGTGGCGCCGCCTCTTGCAGCCCTTATAGTAATACGGCTCGGCACCCGTTGTGTTGTCGTTCAGGTCACCCTCTGAATTCTAGACTCACCTGACGGTAGCCATAGCGCGAGAACAAAACGACGACCAATGGACAGGAAGGAGACGAGCGCTAGTTAGCGTGTTTTCTCAGTCGATCGGTGAGACACCTTCCGGTCGTTTTGACATAACAAGCACCACGGGAAGTTTAGGGAGGTCCTCTAAAATACTCCCCGAGAACGTGCACACATGCCTGTTTCTATGCTTAACTTTACATTGATTTGATGACTACTTTTTCTGGGGGTTTGTAGATTTGGTGAGACTGATTAATTTGAACGGTGCAGAGAACAGCACACGAACGCCCACACGTTTTACGAATTTCTGGAGCCTTTGTGATATCTCGTGTTAGTACGGAACAACAGCTATCCTTTTCCGCTCTGTATCCGTGTTGCTCGGATTCTGTCCCTGCCTCTGCTCTGCCCTACTGGTACGCAAACTAGACTCAGCGACAGATGCGACAAACGCCTCAGAAAAACCCGAAACCATAAGGCGAAATACTTGAGCTTTGAAGCTCACAGAGTTGTTGTGAAAGCACTACCTGTTCAAGGCATTTTCAAGACAGGTCCGTGCAATTCCTCGCTTTGCTAGCTTGCTGTGAGCGGAAGAAAAAGGAAGCAAAGGTTTCTGCGCACGTGGTTCGTAGCACCAACAAATATACTGTCGCTTTGTCGTCCTTCTGTTCTCTCTCTATAACTACCGCCATGTCATACCAACTAGCCCAAACCGCCGCACTTCTAAACTCACAGTGTTAGCGCAAAAGAAATACACTACACAGCGTGCTAAAGATGCTACACAACTTGCTAAAAATGCGTGGCATGTCATCTAATTAGGGCAGCGGTTGCATTGCTTCACTATTCTTCGGAGGATGTTACGCATAGCTTTGCGAAAATATTTGCCAACGGATACAACAAGCGATTGCGTCTACGTGGGTATCATAGCGACGGCACACTTGTTACATAATTACTATTATTACCCTAACTGCAGACATTTTAAGTACAGTAGAAATAAATATCATTGCTTAAGGAAATTATAGTGATCGTAATTTCTATAAACAGAGCTTCTCTAAAATCACAAAATGGCCGGTGCGCCACAACGAACTCTTGAACAGCAGCGTCGCGCCTGTTGAAGCCGCAATATGAGACTCGGGAAGTCTCACTTCCTGATTTTTTTTTTTTTTTTGCATATTGAATTTCGTTGGCCACACTTTGCTATATAAGTCCATTGTTACAGGCACGATCGGCAGCGGATGCAATAAAACACATGTAGCTATGTAAACTACCTGGACTGTCCGCAACAGAAAAGCAAAAAAGGGGGCAAGCTGATACCTCAACGCACTCGCTTCCAATGCTTCGTTTGAAAGCGCTTCGTAACATAAGCCATGTAAGCAAAGCCCGAGTGGATTATTCTTTTTATTTTGTTTTATTATAATTTTTTTTCTGTTCGCGCTCATCGCCTACGTAGAAAGCCGCGTGCAACAACGATGTCGCTAGACTTGGTTTGTACCTCAGACCAACTAGTTGATAGCGCGGGAGAGAGGCCACGTGAGCACAGCCTATACACCAGATGTATTTTGTTTGTCGCTAGTTTGTCGGCGATCGCCGAACAATCTTTCTCGTGTCGTACGCAACTCGTGTACGCACGAACCGGGAAAGGCGCGGCAAGCGGCGCCGCTCATTCGCTCACACGAGTCACATCTCGCGCATTCGCGAAAAGCAGCGGCGGAACAATATTTTTCTCCCTTCCTCCTCCGACGAACCTTCTCTCTCATATCCGCCCGCGATTACTAGTTCCGCACGCAATACCCACGTATGACATCAGTCGCGCCAGAGCGCAATCGCCCGGCGCCGCGTACGGTCGCAGGCGGCGGCGACTGCATGCACCACTTGTAAACAGAGCGAAAGTTAAGGCAGATAACGGTTTCCAAAAAAAATACGGACTGCTCGGGCGTTGGCCCGATGGGCCGGACAGTGCATGGCTGCTTGGAGGAACGGTTAGACGACCGCACGTTTCCGGCCCCTGATTGTATGACGCGTCGTTATAGGGGAAAAATAATGAAGCACCCGAAAATGCATGCTTGGAGTCGCATGCCGATATCGCTTGGAAATCAAATTCTAGATGGTTATCTCGGTGAAACCAACTTACCTGCTGGAGTCTACGTGCTCTAAAACGCGCGCTTCGTGCGAAGAGTTCGCGCACAACTACGGCGGATCGCCGTATACAAACGCGGCCGGCCGATCAGGCGCACTCCTCACCTCTGAACGGCGTGTAACGTCGAATCTTCTCCGGGAACTGGAAACTGTTGGCGAGTGGAAAACCACGCTCGGAGAGCTTGAGCCCCATGTCGGTCGACGCGTTGTTCGGACAGCCCGGTACGGGGCACAGGGTATGGCAAGCACTCTTGTCGAAGCCCTTTTCATAGGCCGGTGCGGAACTATCTCCTTCGCCGACGGACAACGCGGCACAAACGAACACCACCACGGCGACGAGCATGCTGAAGTGTACGCGAAGCACGTTTTGCAGAACGCGCGTGAGTGTGTTCGAATCGCGGTCTCTGGCTTCGAACCACAGGTTCGCGCGCCGGGACCCGGGGTATCACGCCCAAAAATTGCAGACGATCGAGCAGCGAGCGCCGAACGAGCGACACGCCATGCGCCACCTGTCGTGAGCGATAAAAAGGACGCGGGCGCCACGACAGCACTGCGGCTGTTCACTCAACGAGAGCAATCGAAACCGAAACCATTGTAGCACGCTCAAGGCGCGCGCCTAAATCAAACCTGTCTAGAAATACGGAAAGCTGACCCAACGTTTTCCGCCTTAAATTAGAAGCGAATACAGAAAAATAACCAGAATACGTTATTGAGTTTATAGGTTTAATCGTTATTTCATGAAAGGAACTATTGCTCTTTTTGAGGCAGAATCATCATGAGCTAATTGCGCCGCGCCGGCGCGACATCCTGTTCCTTTATATTAAAGAATACTTGACTGCACTACCTAAAACACGGACACAAAGGAACACAATGAACAAGACGAGTGTTGTTGAAATGTGGAACTACCCCAATTCCAAAATTAACATTAGGCTTGCACACATATCCTCCGCCAACTATTGTTTCATATGTGGGGTTTAACGTCCCAAGACCACCATATCAGCGACACCGTAGTGGAGGGCTCCGGAAATTTCGACCACCTGGTGTTCTTTAACGTGCGGGACCCAAATCTGAGCACACAAGCCTACATCAGTTTCGCCTCCATCATAAATGCAGCCGCCGCAGCCGGGATTCGATCCCGCGACCTGCGGGTCAGCAGCCGAGTACCTTAGCCACTAAACCACCACGGTGGGGGAAATCCGCCAATTTATATAAGAGAAACAAGTGTATACTTAAGGGCTCGTTTTTTCGTGTTTAGACACAATATTAATGAGATCTAACAGACAACAATGCCAAGGAAAGTATAGGGGAAGTTATTAGGCGAATTGTAATGTAAATGGGAAGAAAGAAAAGTGGGTGAAAAAATAACTTGCAGTGGGCAGGATCTGGGTGCGCTTAAACATTTTATTTCTTCACATTTACATTACAATTGGCTTAATGACTTCCCCTATACTTTCCTTCGCATTATTGTCTGTTAGATCTCATTATAATGTGTGTGTGTGCGTGTGTGTGTGCGTGTGTGTGTGCGTGCGCGTGTGTGTGTGCGTGCGCGTGTGCATGTGTGTGCGTGTGTGTGTGCGTGCGTGCGTGTGTGCGATCCTCCGTGAGCGATCACAACGTGGTTTATTTCAACGTTTCGGCTTAGAGTCTGGCCTTCATCAGGATTGAAAGTACAGTTTGTTGGCGTTCAGCTTTATACAATTTCAAATCAGAGGGGGAAAGAGAAAAAAAAAGAAGAAAGAAAAAAGGGAAAAAAAGATAAAAAGAGTATAAGGTGGTAATAAGGGCTGCAGCGCGAGCACGAAGGTGCTAGAAGAAACAGACGAAAGGCGAGACAAGAAAACCAAAGAGGACAACATGAGCGCTGCAACCGAAGAGGACAACACTAGCGCTGTGTTTGGTTTCCTTGCCTCGCCTTTCGTCTGTTTTTTCTAGCACCTTCGTGCTCGCGCTGCAGCCCTTATTACCATGAATTCAAACCAACTAGCCCAAATAGCCGTTCTTCTTCAGTATAAGGTGGACTCCTCCCCCCCCCCCCCCCGGGGCGCCCCCTTCAACTCTTCCTTCCACTTCCCTCTCCATCTTTATCCCCTTTCTCTTTATCACCTTTCTGCTCTCTGCTGTCTGTGTATGCTTCCTTTCACTAACGCATTCTTCCCGACCAGACGGCACCTTCTGGCTCTGGCGGTTCAGTGTGGGGCGAAAAGAACTTTTTAAGAAATTTAAGCCTTTAACTACTCAGCGCCCGTCGACATTTCGTCGTAGAAACAGGGGTGCCGCGTAATGCCGCAGAGGCTGGCAAGCGGGCGCAATGCGAATTCCTTGCCCGCCTCTGGATTACGCGTGCAGTAGGGGCCACCCGACTGTGTACAGGGTTGCTGTTGGGCATGTCAAGCTTGGCACAATTGATTGGGTAGTAGAGTAAAAGCAGAAAACAGACGACAGATGTCTTAAGAAGAGTAGTCACACTTGGCATTGTTTTGAGTTGTCCAGTGCCCTTCGCAGCTGCAGTGCCGTTAACTCAGTTACTATTTTCATTATTGCCGTTATTGTTTTCTAATACTTTAATTGCTGCAAGTGTACCAGGATTCTCATTTATTCCTCTATCGAGGGTGTTAAACTGGTGGATTAGGTATGACTCTCGTTGTTCACGTTCTCTATTTGATTTAAATCCCGTCTCTAAGAGCGTTACTGATAGTTTGTCGAATGCATGGTCGGGAAGATTGAGATGTTTTGATAGAGGTATACTTGGGGCTGATTTCGCATGGGCTCTGCGATTATTCAAGTGAATCCTAAATGGTGTTTCTGTTTGTCCGATGTACTGCATACTACACACGTTGCGTTCGAGTAGGTATACCACATTATAGGAATCGCATGTTAGGTTTCCTCGTATGTTAATCGAAAACTTGGATTGTGTGCTGGTTGCTTTTTGTTTCTCGCATCGCCTTACATACAAGACATCGTTACCTCAAACAAGGTCGGCATGAATTATTGGGGGGTGACGTATTAATTTGAGAGTGGACAAGTGTGTCTTTGAGGTTACGTGGTCGTCGGTAAACGACGCCTGGAGCGGATGGGAATGCGCGTTTCAGACGTTCTCTTTGTTCTAGAATGTTGTAATGTCGTTTAGCGATTTTGTTTACATTGGGGAAGTTTGTGCTGTAAGTCAAGCAGAGGTTTGTTCGTTGTGGGTCTTCTTGCGGTGGTCGCTTCATAAGTAAGTATTCACGCTTTAGTTATCTCGCTTTTTGAACAGCGTCATTAATTACATGCGGGGGGTATTTTTGTTTCTGGAGCATAAGTTTTAGCCTCTGTGAGCTCGTGTCAAAGTCAGCGTCTCTAGAGCAGATTTGCTTAAACCGGTGAGCCTGGCTGTATGGAATACTGTTTTTACAGTGGCGTGGGTGATCGCTTTGGTAATGGAGGTACTGTTGTCGATTCGTTGGTTTGCGATATAGGGTTGTAGAAATCTTCTCTTCTTCTATCGTTATGGTAACATCAAGAAAATTTACGGTTACTTGCGAGTATGTGTGTGTGATGTGTATGTTCGGATGTACAGCATTGTAAGTGTCGATAAAGCTGAGAAGTTCATCCTCGCTGTGGGTCCAAATAAGAAAGATGTCGTCTATGTATCTTCTGTATAACATTGGTTTCAAGGAACTTTGTGCAAGAAATTCCGATTCTAGCTTTCCCATAAAAATGTTGGCATAATTAGGTGCCATTTTGGTGCCCATAGTGGTCCCGCTGATTTGTCGATAGATATGTGGGGTTTAACGTCCCAAAACCACCATATGATTATGAGAGACGCCGTAGTGGAGGGCTCCGGAAATTTCGACTACCTGGGGTTCTCCCGCTGATTTGTCGAAAATACTCTTGGTTAAACTCGAATGAATTTAATTCGAGGACCATCCTCGTCAAAGTTGCGATGGCAGAAAAATCTGGGGTGTTAGATTGTCTATGGTTTGTGTACATCTTTAATAATGCAGCTATGCCGTCATCGTGAGGAACATTTGTATAAAATGAGGAGGCATCAAAAGTAAGCAAGTACGAGTTTTTCGGCACACACAGACCTGCAATGTCTCGAAGAAAACGTGTGGTGTCTTTTATGTACGACGCGAGGGTGCATGGAATGTGGCTTATTAGTTTGTCCACGTACCCTGATACGGATTCAGTTATTGTACCGATGCCTGATATGATTGGCCGACTTGGGTTACCTGGTTTATGAATTTTTGGGAGGATGTAGAAGCGACCTGGACGAGGGTATGCTGCTCGCATGAGTTTGTGGTCAGTGTTGGTTATCTTTTCTGCATCCAACAGTTTCTTTAGTTCTGTTGATACGATACGTTTGCATTCGTCTGTCGGATCACCTGGGAGGCATTCGTAAAATCTTGAGTCGTCTAGTTGGCGGTATGCTTCTTGTAAGTGGTTGGTTGTATTAAGTACTACAATTGCTCCTCCTTTGTCAGCGGGTTTTATTGTTATGTCTGTCCTAGGTGCCAAATTTCTCATACTTATTTTTGAGATTTTGTCAAGTTTTTTTCGGTTTCCTTTCTGTCTGTGGTATTCGTGTACTATATCTTTCTGTACTGCGGTGATATAAAGGTCCAGGCACTTGTCTCGATTACTGTTCGGTGTCCAATCATTTGTTTTACGACGGTGAATTGTTACGTGGTTAGAAGGCCTGTCCAAGAAATATTCGCGCAACCTTAAGCTCCGAGCGAAGTTGTGGAAGTCTTGGAGCAAGTGGAATTCATCGAAAAATTTTGTGGTCGGGCAGAAGCTATAGTCCTTTAGATAGCAGTTTTTCTTCGTCAGGTGACAAGCTCGTGTCCGATAGCTTTACAACCACAATGTCACAGGGTGTGTTCCTAGATGGGTGCTTGTTTGTACAGTTAGTGGTTTCCAGGGTGGTGTTGTAGTGATAAGGAACTATATCAGGGAACGCGGGGTTGGGCACATGGTCTCTTTTGAGTTTATGAATTTTTGTGGTCGTGATGGCTTGGTATTTATTCTGTTCAAATTCTGTTAATCGGGTGATTTCTTCGTTCGATAAAGTGTGGCGGAGAATGGTGTTGGTCATAGCGACCAGCTTCTTTACCTGCTTATCACTGTGATTAAGAGCGATTTCTGTTAATTTATTAGATGCCTCAAAGGAGGACATTTTTCCATGTTATTTGGTCGTGTTCATCTAGGTTTGTAGCGGCTGGTGTGAGGGAGAATGTCAAACCCTTGGGGGCTATTCTAGCACGAAGGTACACTTGCAATGTTGATTTATGCATTTCATGTCTAATTAGTTTGTCGGCAAGTTTTTGTACTTTAAGGAAAGTGGCACTGCAACTGGGAAGCGATGAGCTGGACTTACATTTCAGAAGTGAATCTTCTTTTGGGTGCGGAGATGGCACTGATGAGGTGCCCAGGTTGTAGTTATGTCCGGCAGGCCTTCGTCGCTGTAGGGAAGATTTCGGCGTTGTGCTCCCGGCGAACGTGTTCGTAGGCAGTTCCGGGGTCCGCAATAGGGGGACGCGGTTTCGTAGTTCGGCAGGCTTCCCTTTGAGGAGTGGTGTAGTGGTGCTGTCGTGTAGTGCTTTTGGTCTCGACATCCGCAATGGAGGGACGCGTGTTTGCTGTTCAGCAGACTTCCTCCCAGTAGTGGTGCGCTGTTGATGATGGTGAGGGGGTGCTTGTGGCTCACGGGAGTCACAGTTTCGCCGATCGTCGGGAACTCGTCTGTGATGTCGGGTGGTTGTGGGGCTCCTGGTGTATGTTGGTATGCAGAGTTCTTGTCGTGGGTGTCTTGTTGTGTTGAACGGATACTGACGGGAGCTGCTGGTTGAGTCGACTACCCCGTCGTAGATTCGTCTACTACCCAATCAATTGTGCCAAGCATGACATGCCCAACAGCAACCCTGTACACAGTCGGGAGGCCCCTACTGCACGCGTAATCCAGAGGCGGGCAAGGAATTCGCATTGCGCCCGCTTGCCAGCCTCTGCGGCAATACGCGGCAACCCTCTTTCTACGACGAAATGTCGACGGGCGCTGAGTAGTTAAAGGCTTAAACTTCTTAAAAAAGCTCTTTTTGCCCCACACCAAACCGCCAGAGCCAGGAGGCGCCGTCTGGTCGGGTAGAATGCGTTAGTGAAAGGAAGCGTACACAGACCGCAGAAAGCAGGAAGGTGAAAAGGGAGAGAGATGGAGGGGGAAGTGGAAGGGGGTGCGCCGGGGAGAGTCCACCTTGTACTCTTTTATCTTTCTTTTTCCTCTTTTCCCCTTTGATTTGAGATTGTATAAAGCTGAACACCAACAAACTGTACCTTCAATCCTGATGAAGGCCAGACTCTAGGCCGAAACGTCGAAATAAACCACGTTGCGACCGCTCACGGAGGATCTACTTTAATCTACTTGACAATATGCAACGCTACGGCCACTCAACCCCCATGCCTATATGTATATATATATATATATATATATATATATATATATATATATATATATATATATATATATATATATATATATATATATATATATATATATGGCAAAGAAGTGTACTTGTTTTTCCGTGCTTTGACCCAGTAATAATGAGATCTAACAGACAATAATGCCAAGGAAAGTATAGGGGAAGTTATTAGACCGAAAAAGTTATTAGAAGAATGTAAATGTGAAAGAAAGAACAGTGGGTACAGTGGGTAAAAGCTCACTTGCCGTGAGCAGGACCCGAACCTGTGACCTTCGAATAACGCATGCAGGAACCGACCGCAGGAACCGGCCACACTCACGATGCGCTCGCGGCCGATTCACTAGCTTGAAATACGCCAAATTTCGTGTTACGTCGCGTGAATGGATGACGAAGGTGTGTGACTGGTGCAAACATGATAATCATCAGATGCGTCTAATGTAAGAACATGACTACATGCCACACTCGAGGCGCCAATATACTTCGAAGTGACCCGGCACGCGTGAGCGCCGGCGTTCGTTTCGTCGCGTCACGCTGGGGGTGCCAAGCCAGACGCCTATTTACTCGCAGGGGCGCACCGCGCTGCGTTGCTTTGACGCATGCGCGTTTGAGCGCACCCGGCGTCCCTCCGTTACAAAGAGAGGCAGACGCGTCACGCCTGGCGTCAGACCATAGAGTGCTCACGTTTCGCTAGCGTAGCGTCGCTGCGCCCAGCGTGCGCGCGCGTTAACGTTACGTCGGAGTAATCTGCGCCCTTCACGATGCGCTCGCCACCGTTTCAGTAACTTCACGTATACCAAATTTTCTATCACATGACGTGAACAGACGACGAAGGCAAATGACACCTCCAAACATGATAATCATGATACGTGTGTCATGTAAAACATGACTACATGCTACGCTTATAGCGCGCTCGCGGCCGTTTCGCTAGCTCCACATATGCCAAATTTGGTATCAGGTGACATGAATAGATGACGAAGGTAAATGACACGTCCAAACAATATAATCATGACATGGAAGTCATGTAAGGCATAATATACCTCCACCCCGTAACGTTCTGCTGATTTTAAAGTGATATATCAACCTTCCTCATCCGTACTTCGCATATCATCGATTCCCACTACACGTGGGATCTGCCAATTTTTTTTTTTTCGTAGCGTTAGCTACACTGGCTTCACTGAGCCAATTTCGCGTGGCACTGGTCTGCGCATGCGCAATGATACTCCGCCGTCGCCGCCGGTACAGAGCTACCCCCGGTGTGCGCGCAATTCGATGCGCTGCGCAGACGATCAGTGGTGTCGCGCACCGGAGCCGGCACCTCCCTCGCACTCGGCCGCGGCCGCACGCGACTCGCCGCCGCCGGTGTGCGCTTTCCAGAGGAGTGCCGTCATAGCTTTGGTAGACATATGGACGCCGACGCGCGCGCCTTCTCTGAGCAGTCGCCATCTGACACTGCACTGGAGCCGCTTTTTTGGTTGCTTTTCACTATGATACAACACATAGCCGATTTTTCGACGTATTTGAATTTTGGTTAAACAAACAAAATCATGCGCGAGTTCCGGACCGATGTTCAAACACTTCGCGAGATGCTCATTGTAACGAAAAGAAAAACAGATTATATATTGTTTCGTTCTAAATATATGTTGCATTGAGTTGCTGAGTTGCTTAGTAACAATTAAGCAAGGAAGCAGTTTACAATATTTTGGATGTAACGTTTGAAGAACCGAGATACCACTGCTTCACAACCTGAACGCAGAATATGGTGTAATTTATTAATAAGAAGTGGTACGTTCAGGTGACTCTCTCGGAAAAGAATAAAAAAGAGACTTCACAACTGCAAACACACATATCAATATAACATAGTAAACCTAACCAAAGGGAATAATTTCTCAAATCAATCAACAGCCAATAACTTTATAGGCAGCCTAAGAACTACGAGTAAGCTTGCGAAATAAATTTTCATCGAGGATGATGTTCGCTACTTAAATATTCGTGCACAAGACCACAAATATGGCGACTGCCACGCTAGCAACCCTTGCAAATGACGTCACGTGAATACCTCCTTGAAAAGGTCACTGCTTTTCCTAAACACTTTTGCTTCGCGGCAGTACGGGTTTTCCCTGGAGAAAAGGGCTTCGTGGCATAGCGGCTATACAGAGCAGTGAAGCGCCCTTTCAGAAAGGGGTTAGTGCGGTTACGATTTAGTGTAGTCGTCCATGAAAGCTTTCCGAATTTCCGATGTTCAAAGTGCGCGTCAAGGCGGATTCAAATCCAGGAATATCAATTATGGGCCTGCGCCCCTTTTGGTTTTGTAGCGCTATCTCATTTGAATATTTGTGGCCCAGGCATGCGGTCCCAAACATTTCTGTCAATTTAGGGTATGTTCATTATCTACACGGACCTGGCTGTTCTCGAACATTCTTTTTTCTTGAGGCACACCAACTCACCCAATCACTATCACAAAAACTCTAAATTGGCGTTCAGCTTTCAGTCGGAAGTTCAGTATGGAGCCCCGCCGCGGTGGTCTAGTGGCTCAAGTACTCGACAGGCAGAAGGCCAGGGGTGAAGCACTGCTCGAGTGTTCGTGCAAACCCGGAGTCTGCATGCTTCGTAGACGCGGCGAAATACGGTCTAACAGCAAACTTCTCGGTCGTTGCAGTTGACCACGCAGGTTGTGTAATTCACTCCGTATCTATCAGGAATACCACTCTCGCTAAAGCTGAACAGGTAGCCATAGCTCTCGCTCTCCTTGACGACTCCCGGCAACACGTCTATACAGACTCATGAGCGGCAGTTCGAGACTTTGCATAATTTGGTTTGCGGCATAATTTGGTTTCCGGCTTACCTCAGATCACATCTGGCCTCCATGGCAAACCTAAACGAGATCGCCCACGCCCGACCACGCAAACTTACTCATCGTGCTGGGCAGCCTGCGCGACCTTGACTCCAACCTAATGGTCTTTAGTGATGTTCTCACTTTCAACGAGGTGACCAAACATTACCAGCTGGACAGAAGGATTTTCCCCCTTCCTCATATCAAACTTTGTAGGGCCCAGGCAACTACCTTCCGCATGCTTCAAACCAAGTCATACCCAAGTCTTCATTCCCACAGCCAGTTCATTGAAAGCATTTATCCAACACGCCCAGATTGTGGCGCCGTATCTACGTTAGACCACATGCTCTGGCAGAGCCCCTTATCACGCGATTCTCGGCATATGACCGAAGAGGAATGGAGCTCTGCACTCGGCAGCTGTCCAGAGGGCCCACGACGCGGCGGTGAGGCTCGGCCTAGCCATTCCGACTTGGGAGCAGCCCGCTGCTCTACCTCTTCGAGATAGTGTTCCCTAGGACCATAATGAAGTTCTGTGTCTGTCCGTCTCTACACCCCTGGATACATTGTACATAGAATGCGCCTTTCACATAAAACACTTAGACGACATTTTATTCAAATTCACCCCCCACCCTTCTCTTCCTTTGCTCTAACCTCCACATGCCCTGCTCATCAAGAGTACCTAATCTTGTACCCTATAGATGAGAAGAGCTTGATACTCCTGTTGTAGACCATAGTACAACAAAGGCGTATGGCCAGCTCACAGTTGCAGACTTCCATTGTTCAAAAATTCGGCACTACAATGAACACTCCTGTAAATGGAAATATTTCAAAAGGAACTGGTAGTTAAATGCAACTAGAAATTCGGCTTTTTATTTGACTGCGGTGGCCATATTTCTCGGCAAACGAAACTCCTCTTAAAGGAACACAAAAGAAAAAAAAAAAGATTTCTTTTCGTATTAGTAAAGCACAATTCTGCTGTCCCAAAACCTCCCTCTTAATGCAAGAGGACATTCATTTAGAGAGCAATCGCACTAAAAGAAGATGCGAGTGAATTAGTTTTTATGTAGTTACATTTGACAAAACATCGGAAGATAGGCTACATTAGAAATGGCTATCCCAAGATCATGACAGTAATGTACAGGATAATACAAAAAAAGACTAAAAGAAAAAAATAATTAGAGGCACTCTTTACATATACACTTTATAGGGCGAGTGGAGATGCCACCTTAAGATTCCCACACCAATCACCATGACATAAGATTTTGACGGAGCCTGCTGGATTCTGCGCAATTCATAATTGGTAAAAATCAAGTGCATTGTAATCAGTGGAGGACAGATCTATCATACAATGTTTCGAAAAATCTGGCGGAGCCAATGTCCCAAGAATACCAAAAATACAAAAAATACATTTTGATACCAGTGTTGTTTCGGCGTGAAATTTTCCTCCAGTAATCAACTTGTAATGGTGAAACTTGAAACAGAATTCTAGGTATGATTTCTCAATGAAAACCAAGCCATTGTTTCACTTTAGTGTCCCTTTAAATGTTTTTCGGGTCACTTCAAGTTTCATTACAGTTTCTACAGTTCATCACAGCTGCTATGGAAATCATTGTATCAAGGTAGAATTCAAAGAATAATACTGTGGTGGTCAACTAAAATTCCTGTCTGACTGCCAATGATGATTACTGTCCATTCAATGCAATGCAGTAATATTTATTATCTGGGCTTTACATGCCGAAACCACGATATTATAAGGCATGCATAGTGGAAGGCTCCAGAATATTTGATAATCTTGCATTTTTTAATAACCTGTACCAACACTGCTCAGTACATGGGCCTGTAGCGTTTTGCCTCTATCAAAACGAGACTGCCACAGCTGGGATGAAACTTGCGACCTTTGGGTCTGCAGCCAAGCATTGCAACCACTACACCAATGAAGAGGACAAACCAGTGCAATAAATGGGGCATGGTACTGGTTCATTTGGGGCCTTTGCGCTGGGGTGCTCGGACAGGAATATTTTCAGAGCTGTCGAAAAGCTTATGTGACTCGAATAGATTTAGTTAGGTTATCAACTACTAACATTTCTTTATTCAGCCTTCCTAGTCAAAAGATCTTCAGTCTCTGGGATATTACAGAGAATAGTGCAACTTAAAATTGCAATTCATAATTAACATTACATTAGAAAATCATCTCGAAATTATTTTATCTCTTACTAAATATTGATCAAATTCAGTATGTATGATCCACCCGACTAATGGCCCGCAAGGCAGTAATCCAGTGCAAGGCGAGCCGATGAAGCATCATCATCATCATCATGGTGCTCATCTCCTTACACAATTTAGAACTAGCCTTGTGCGAATAGTAAACCCGAAGTTCCAAGCAAATAGAGCTTTCGGTCTAATAATTTCAGAACCAATTCAATATTATAAAGAAGTGGGCATATTTGATATGACCAAACTTAATTGAACAATATTTTATAAGAATTAAAACAAGGTCTATGCAAATGCCTTATTTGCTCAAAGGAAGTGGAAAACATTTAATAGTAACAAGATTCGACTTTATGCGACTTGCAAGAGGGAATATGAAATATGCTAAGTTTTAAGTTTTACTATACAATATATTTATTACCTTGAAGTGGGGCTTGGCGGCAGAGCGGATTTCTCCTGGATACGAGTTTTTATGGTTTAGCACCCCTTCACAGCAGTGAAATTATTTTTTACAAGGAGTTACATGTGAATTGATCTATACACCTAAATAGGTGCTTTTACGGCCTAGCACCTATCCACTGCAGTGAAACAATCTTTAAAGAGGGTTAAATAGAGACGTACACTTCTCCGTTATTTCCATTCCTTTAAAATAACAAAATTGACAAATTCCCAAACCGTGCTCTTGCCTGAAGAAATCAGAATTTAAAATCGAACTGAAGCGAACTCGAATACTCCCATACTCGTTCGAATATTCGAAGCAATCGAATAATCGCACAAGCTTACCTAGAACATATGAAATGGGAAAAAAAGGCAACTCTGCTGCAACTGTTCTACAGCTCTAACTTCACTAAGGTAGAAATCAGTTCCCCCTCTTTTCTAACTTTACTATTAAAAAAAATAATGTCGACCGAAAAATTAAAAGCACGTAAAAAACGCAGCATGCACTCTTCAGCTCACTGCATCTTCAATGGGTCACCAATGCAGTGATTGTCCAAACACTAAATGAAGCATGAATGAATAACTATGAATACATAGTTAACACACAAGTAAAGAGATGAAGATATGATTATGGTAATAAATGAAAGCTCTTGTGGTACATGAGTGCAAAGGTGAAGCATGACACAATGAAACGGCGACATAAATTAACGGGTGCGGATACAATTCTTTTTCAGAAGGGGTGGGTGTCGAAAATGTTTCAACGGCAACTGATCACAATCTGCCTTTTCCATTTTCCTGTGCTGTGCTCTGGCGTTTCGGTAGGGTTTCGATAGGGACCGGAAAAACTGGTATTGCTAGAAAGAATGACTCGGAGACCAGGACGCTTTTCGCAACATTCCCCCTAGGGGAAGGGCGCACGCACTGTGGCACTGTGGAAAAGGCAGATAGCACACACATTAATGATCAATACTACATACTAATGGTAATAAAAATTCTGGAGGTGACCATAGTCTTCAACTTGAGCGTTTGGCAGTGAAACTCTCGCATCATCGCGTGTTCTGGTGGCGTTCCTAGGGTGAATTTCGCGCTTTGCGTGCTGCTGATATACATCTCTGAGGACATGAAAGAAGCACATGATTGAAATCTGAGCTGCCAGGTGCCACCGCAATCCCAGCTGCTCGAAACTTTCAATCAAACCTATCAATATTCATTAGTTACCCACAGCTGCCAGGTGCCACAGCAATCCCAGCTGCTCGAAATTTTCAGTCAACCCAATCAATATTCACTAGTTACCCTGACAGTTGAGTTATGCTCCAATGTCATCTCTATCCAATATTACCTTTAGCTCAAACCAAAATTTGGCGTCTCTCATAATCATATAGCGGTTTTGAAACGTTATACCACACAAATCAAATCAACTCAAACCAAGAGTACATTTTTCTATTTTCAGAATACTTTATACGAGTATTCAAAAATCAGAAGAGCACAACCACGTATACTTTGAAGAGAAACGAGTCATGGGGTACTTTTGTAATTAAGAAAACTGGTTTTTGTGTCCCAGTGTGTGACAAGTTTTTGTCTCTCGCAGTGAGTGATATAGAGCAGTCAAAACGAATGTCGTGCATTTGTTGTGTGCTGTATGCTGCACAGCACTGCGCAGCGGAAATTCGAAGGTGAAAGAAGGGGGGGGGAGGGACCAATAAAGACATTGAGGCAACCCCTGGATTCTCACAATATCCAGAATTTATGCTCACGTGGCACTCGCACAGCAGTATCCCTTGGACTGAACGAAATATTACGAAATGACTGCTTAGGCAGTATTTCAGCAGATGCCACATGGGCGTTAGGTTTCGAGGCTAGCACTGGTCACGAGTCTTTCTACCTAGTACCTATAAGTCTTTTGCACAACCTGTTCAAATATGCAATTTTATAAACTTGCCCAGATTTTGGTTCTTGTAAAATGCAATAAACTCACAAGATCTCCGAATAAAATACATCTTCGTAGCAGAGTTGAGACGAAAGCTCTGTAGAACACACAATGATAAAAGCATGCTAGAACATTTTTGGCACAGCACAACGACAACATGGACGAATAGAAAAGAAGGACAGTGTTGCCGTTGCGCTGTGTCAAAAACATTCTCTTCCACAGCTAAAAGAATAAAATGAAAAGCCAAGCAAGCACGGCCCATTTACAAATTCAGCAATAGTGACTGGTGATGGCAGGAGATCACTGCACTGATGATGCCCGTCAAACTTCAAACTGCTTGGTGAGAGGTCCTTTTTAATTGCCTGAAGTTGTAGCGGCTCTTCAAATTCTGTAAGGGAATGGAAAAAAAGATCCTGTAGAGCAGCAAAAGGAGAAGTAGCAGGGTTGGGCAGAAATACCCATAAAAGCATTCTGGAAAACAAATATTAAAATAGAGCACATGATGCAAGGAGATACAAATACAGTAAAACCTGGACATAACGAAATTGACAAATTCCTGAAAAGTTCGTTTTAAAGAGGATTTCGTTATATTCAAGTTCGGTACGAAAATTTAAAAAAAAGAGACATGGCTGATCCCTCTTTCTAGGAATCGGTATAACACGAAAATGAAACATGTCTTCACAGAGGTGGTTGATACTTTTTTGTGCATTGTTTCGCTACAAGGGCAAAGGAATGACTGCTACAGCAACGAAATGCAATGTCCCTTGAACGACAACCAGCTTGAAACTTCCAGTGCACACCTCAAGCCGAAAGCGAACATGAAATGAGCATACCGAGAACGTATGCAGAATAACAACTGTCACAGCTCGACACTTGCAGCGAGCTGTTCAAACAGCAAGAAAGACTCGTGAAATTCTATGCAGGACAAGCGCAACCAACAGTCACAATTCTTGCTTCTCATCCGACGACGTGGTCCTTTCGTACACGCAGCCGTGGCAGTGAGTGAAGTGACCTTAATGCTCTGCCGAAGATAAGCGTGCTTGCAGAAGAGGAGGTGCGCCCTCTCTGTAGGTGGCACTCATCGAAACACTCTAAGGCAACGAGGACCTTGAGAGAATGCCAAAGGCTACAGCCCCTTGATCATGGGAAAGTACCGCCATCCACTGTACCCATCGCTGCGCCCTCAAGTTCCTCTCTCCCTCCTCGACCCCCCCCCCCCCCCCCCCTTCGTGTCCTCCCGATCTTTTACACTTTTTCTGCACAATGATTGGTTTCTTTCGCGGTTGCACTTAGAGATGTGGATCTTGCGCTTTGCTTCTGTTTTTCTTTCTCGCTCCCGCCACTCTTTGCTCATGCTCCGCGTAATAAACGTAGCACCCGCTTTGTTCTCTGTGCTTTGTGCGGGCGCTATGCCGTGCTGTTGCGCTTACGACTGCAACAACCACAGTAAAAACGATTACGCACACTTTTTACGATACCCCAAGGTTAACACGATGGCTTGCACAAGCCACAGTGGCTGCACAACATCAGCCGAAAAGAACTTCGTTGCGACAAAGAACAGTGTACTTTGTGTGGTAAAGCGCCTTTATAACTACTCGTATCAAAGCACCGTCGAATACTGCTTTTGAAATATTGTTCTGGCCTCTGCATCAACATGCGCGTTTTTTAGGGTCGAAGCTCCTTACGCCGTGGTTCATATGCCCTGTGTCGTCGTAGTAGCCAATTGCATAGCATTGGATGTCAATAAAACCGGTGTCACAGCATATCTACGGAGTGAATGATGATGAGTGCGACAAAGTGTCCATTAGTCCATCCATGCTTCCGTGCGTCCGTGCATCTATGCGTCCACACCCTTCGCCCCACTCGTCATCACTCACCTCATGGATATGCTGCGATTTTTTCCTCGGCTATTCGTGCGTTGCTTCACACTGGAGTTGTTATCAATATGCTGAATTCCTTCGTTAGAAACAAGAAGCTGAATCGTTTAATGTTTTTATAAAGAATTATGTCAGAGAAAGTTTCCTTAAATGTACCTTTTGCGTTCAGCCAGCCAGTGCTAGGAATACCCGCCGTAAACATGATCAATCCTTGGCACCCATATTCTCACAAACTAATGCTTATTAAAAATAGTTATTTTCCCAGTTAATGAATTCACTGCCTCATGAGATTTTTTTTTGGCTGACAATTTCGCTATGTCGCTAGAAAGTTATCTACTTGGTTATTAGAGTGTTCAAATGTGTTATAAATTTTGTTGCTGTTTCACAGACATGTGACCTCTGTTAATGCGTGGATACACTTTTTTTTTCACTGTTATGAATCACTTGATATTCCTTATGCCACTCTTGCCTGGACAAAAATGCTGGTCTGCAGTATGTCTAAATAAACAAACAACATAAATAAAAATATTCCGCTCATACTTTATCACCTCGCACGCACCTCGGCAATCGTCAAAAATGCACAACCGTTGTTTGCTTTCTCTGTGAACAATATTGTGTGATGACTCAGCTTCTCGATTTTTGTCATTGTTAGGATTCATTTACAAGAACGTTTGTTGAAGAAAACAAATGAATGGATGAATAGAGATCACACTAATTGGCACTCGTTTCCATAAGGGCATTTATTTTGTTCTCAGATATTTTTTTTCGAAGGTGGGGGGGGGGGTGGGATTGACACACAAAAATCCTGAAAGAGACGTGGTCCATCGAAAGAAGCAAAGAAATACAAAGACGCAACGCAAAAAAAGCTTAAGAACAGTGATAGCGAAAGTGAGCCATTTTCTAGGACAGCGTGGATGCGATAGTTTCAGTCACACCTGCATAAGCATGTCTTCCATTCCCCGATAAGAAATTAATAATAATCTTTTATACCAGTGTCACATGGGCACTTCTGACCGGGATTAGTCAGTACGGATAGCATTTCTTGGTCGCTATCGTCGCGCAGATTATGATGACCTTCCTGGTGCAGAGTTTCTGCTATCACAAGTAACCCGATCACTAGTTTCTCTTACAACAACGTCAAAACACAGTTTTTATTAATCATTTTCTTATGTTTCTGTTATTGTGGTAGATCAGTCACTGTTGGCAACACTTAATCGCATTGACATTGCTCAAAGGCTTTCTGCAGTAAGAGACCACTGGTCAAAGCTACTTTCACGCCGAGAAGACGTACACATGGCTGAACGATCCACCATCTACGAAGTCATTGCAATATCTGACGCTGTAAGTACCTGTGCCACATACCACAAGCAGAACTACATCAGATCCAAATGTACAGCATGTTATCATGCGGCATAAAAACATCCACAATGTAGCATGCCCCACTTATACGACCTTTGGAAGAAACTTTTTATTAACACGATTTTAAAAAATTCCAGCACTACATACTGTGGTGCGCAAGCTGCCACAAATGACCCGCCTCTATTGAATTCCACAGCGAGCCCATGGGAGTGGAGTGGAAAATAGCACCGCGCGCCCCGCGTACAGCAAGCGAGGAAGATGACATGAGGAGGAAACCCGCACGTGGAGGAGAGTGTGGTTACTTTCCCAAAATCAAGGGGCTTTACCCGAAGCGAGACTTGCGCCATCTCCCTACCAATGACAAAAACGCGCTGGAGGTACAGAGCTCTGTGTACCACCAAATGGTGTATGGTACAAATAAATGGCTTGCCGTTAGCGATTTTGACAACATGCGCAGCATGGCATAGTGGTTAGCGCTGTGTGCTGCTGATTGAGAGGTCACCGGTTTGACGTCCCACGACAGTACCTTTACTTCTCATTCTTCCCCTTGCCACCTGTTAGTATATATTTTGTAACATTATATCAGTGACTGAAATATGTCGGCGGAGCCGTGGTGGACCCCAGCATAAAACACTTTCGTGTTAACAAAAGCAAGATTGAAACAAAAAGGTAACTAAAGGCAGAGGATACCCAAAACAGCAGTAAAAACTTCGTTATTGCGATAGCAACTACATGGACACTCCAGACAGGTTTTTGACATCGCTGGAATAGAAGTCTAAATTAATAACATGCTCCCACGCATCGCAATTTTTACGAGGTGGTAAAATCAAGAGAACGCCGTTGAAGCAGATATAAAATGAGTCAGGCCATTCTATCACCTTTTTCTATCACCTCGAAGGTGCGTACGATATTCTCCCGCATAGAGTAGCCAGCTGGTCTAAGAACTGGCTAACCTCCCAGTCCTTCCGCTTAATCTTTCTTTTTTTTTTCTCCCACGTCTTAGAACTGCTGTAAATTGCTTGAAAAAAGAAAAAAAAAACGTCTTGAGCGAGCATGGAAAAGACGCGGGAGGGGGGGGAGAGAGCTGCTCGAGTAGCAACAGTGAGCGATTTTAAGGGCGCGGTCACGGTCGTTGGCATGGGTGCTTTCTCGGCAAGCATCGGTCCGCTTTCCACGCGAATAAACAGTGAGAAAAGAGCACACCCCCGATCAGGCATCGGCGAGGTGCCCATACATTCTTATTGTTAAACGTTGATTCTGCCTCCACGCCCCTCTAGTTGCTGCTCTCCACGACCGCTTTTTGTTACGCACCCCTCCGTCCTTTGTCCCCAAGCTACTCTGAGCACCCCGCATCACCAGACGAGGCCCGTGTTTTCAGGCTGCCACCGATCTTTCGAAGACCGGTCGGCCACGTACCCTGTTTTTGATCGCTGGTATTGTCGTTGGCGTCACCGGCCTGGAGTGACCAGACCATTTGCCAACATCGTCGGCCGCCGACTATCCAATTGTTTGCGTCTAGTGCACACGTGTATGCTACCCCCCACCGACTCTGATAATTTGCGATTTGTTTCGTGTTTAGGACTTGTTCTTGCTCACTTCGCACTCGACTCAGCATGCCTTCCGCACGCGTTCGGAAGTGCGATAATGGCTGGTAATTTGCCCGGAACAAATCGCGAAATATCAAAGTTCGTGAGGCCACGCAAACCCGCCGGTGCAACGAAACGATTTCTTGATCACAGCCGCCGATTCTTTGAACGCCGCCGCGCGCACAGAACGAGGCGGCCATGCTTTGACTTCTGCGCGCGCTGGCACTCTTTTCTACGTGCGAGTTTCGCGGACATTTTGAAGCAAGCTACCGACCTTCCCATGTGTTTTGGTTTTCAAGGTCACCCTCCCGCCGCATCCTCCCCTCTCTTTATCGCACGGAGGAAGAAATCATTCATTCCTCCGTGCTTTATCGCAACTCCTTGCCCTTCTCTCGCAAGTCTGCTCTCTTCTTTTGATCACAACCCCTTCGCCCGTCTCCACCGCTCTGCGACGCCCGTCACGCTGGCTCGAATTAGCTTCGTTTTCCGACTGGAAACGCGCCCAGAGCTGTTCTACGCATGTGCGCGTCTCGCTCGCTCTTGGTGTGCGTGTGTGGTCACGATGGCCGACGGGAGGACTAGCACACTTTTTTGTGCCGCTCAAAAAAAAAAAAAAACCGTCGGAAGTGTGACCGCGTGGCTTGAGCGTAATCCGCGTGTTAGGTGCCGCGTTGCGGAGCGCTTGCTCATAGCTGTTGACCACCTAGCAGCCAACTTGCCGCTTCGGGCGTCCCGGTATTCAGCTGTGGAGATGGTGAATATTTCGTGGGTGGCGGTGACGGCTACATGTGCGCGAAACTATTTTCGTGAAGTCGACTTCGTCAATCGTCGGACCCGATGCCGAGCCTGAAGCTTCCGAACAGGACCACTGCGGCGGCAATTTGTGGCATCGCGTCGTCGACTCCGTCCTGAGAGAGCGGGTAGGACATCTGTTGCGGTGGTGTAATTACGGCCGATGATAATGACGACACTGCGGAACCGTGCACGGATTAGGGCATTGTGAATGAAGTACACGGCGTGAGCAATTTGGAGGAATCGGATTGCAAGAACGACGAAGCTTTGGAGCCAGCGCCTCATGCAGCTTATGCCACGGGCCTCGGCGAACGAGCAGCCTGCCGTTTTAAATGAACTCGAGACCACCCTTATCGTTTCTACTCTTCGAAACACGTGCATTACGGACTTTTTGGGGCAAAAAAGTTGTTTTCACTCGCAACTTTTTTTTAAAAAAGCTGTGTTTCATTTACTTGGAACTTCGGGATACAGTGAACAGATGCCGCGTCACGCTCAGGTTCGTTATAAGCGGGCTTGACTGTAATGTTGCAGGGTACTGAAGAACCGCGCGCAAAACCTCACAATCAACAGTAAATTTGGAAAAAAACGCATTTAATTTACGTGCCTTTGTTTTGTTAACATAAATAAGTTGATAGCATTTAAGCAACAGCAGCCTTCCAAACGGGCTATCTTAGGTTTGTCCACAACACAAGACATCTGAACGAGACAAGTCTATCAACACCTGCAGACGCATCGAATTTTGTGTTTAAGCCAATGAATAACGCCGTAATGACCAGAAAGCCCAGCAGCATGCAGATATTTCTGTTCAGGTCACCTAGGTACCGGAACACTACCCCTCCCCCATATGTCTACTCCGACCGTTCAGAATTTTTTCAATCTTTGAACTAACAAAGAGGTCATTCATCACCACCAATAATTAAAACTCCTCGAATGCATCATTTTGGTGTAAATTATGCACCTGTGTCGCTTGCGCGGGCGAACTCACAAGTTAAAAGGGATAACCACTTCACTTGGGCTCGCTGCCAACCAAAAAAGTTATACCCGTATTCTGTACAGTATTGCAATACCATCAATACATAATAAAAAAATTTCACTACCAAAATACAAATACATCTTTCAAATGTATCTCGATACAAAAATACAGACACTCAACAGCATCTTCGAGACAGTATCTTAATACTCTCGTATTGGGACACTACCCAGCCCTCATTATAAGCTTGCAGTGCCCATTACAAAAGAGCAAAGTTAATTTCTCGATATTTACCCGTGGCAAGAAAGACAATATATCAACACAAAACATCCGTTTCTTTTGGTAAGCACTGGTGTATGTGCACAGACCTATAAGAATTTGGTCCGATGACAGCCACATGCAAATAAAAATGAGAAAGAGAACTTGCCTCTCTGTCGACCGGACTGGAGCACGATGAGTTGGCTGCGTTGAAATATAAATGCAATTAAAGATACAAGCGCCTACAATTAAAAAAACTAATGACTCAACTTTCCGAACTTACTGGGACACGATCAGCACCTGCAACAACATGCGTATGAAACCAGAGAAACACATGCAACAACACACTGTTACAACCAGGTATTATCACAGTTGAATTACTATGCATACATATCAATACATGGTATAACTGTCAGTTTAAGCGCACGAATAAACAGAAAGGAAGAGAGGACAAGCGCATCAATACATACTATAAGTAATTACAAGGCCACGAGTGAACTACAATTCTGATTTCAGACGAACAAAGCACATATTGCACAATATGACAAGAGAGTAAATGCTGTTGAATTCAGCAGTGAAATGCAGGAGAGCCATAAACTAAATATGATGTCATGCTTCTTTCTTGACTACTGTGGTGCCTCCATTGCTCCTAGCAATATAAACTAAGTGTTCATAGCAATATAGCACATGCTGTCAACCACCTGACCTGCGAGGTCTCTGTTCGTTTGCTCGTGACAGAACTCATGACAAATTTTGCGTGGCAGGTGCGCTAAAGGCTAGTTCATACTGAAAGTAGAACGGGTAGGGCAGTTGGGAAGTGAAAAACAGAAAATTATCTTGCACAGGGGGCATGAGGGGTGAGAAACAAGGGTGACGAGCTCCGTAGCTCCCGGACATTTTTTTTTTCTCTGCCCCACCTGAATGAGCTTATGGCTTTCTTGCAGCTAATCAGAGCTTGAGGAAAAAGGAAGCATCAATATGGCGTCCAACAAGGCAGCTGAATACTGAATTTCACCTTTCACTCATACGACACAAAACAGCAGATCACTGGAGTGCAGAAAAAAGACCATCTACCTGTAGTATTAATAATGACTATTGGGGCCTCACCGCCCAAAACCACAATACGATTACGAGAGTCGCCATTAGCCCCGATAAGTTGGAGTGACGCCACGTGGTGGGAGGCCTGGGTGTAGTCACGGCAAGAACTCTTCGATGCCCGCCGTTGTCCGTCTACATAACATGTGCTCACTTACTACATTGCTCCATTGTGTGCATTCGCTTCTTGATCCAGATGAATGACGAAAACAGAATCAATAATGTTCCCGGTAAAACTCTAAAGAAGCTTTACTTTTGCTTTTGGTAACGGTGCCCAAGCTCGGTCGAACGAAAATTTATCCTTAGCAGCTAGGCGCGAAAATTCCAGTTTCATTGCCGGCCTCGGCAGCCCACGGGGCTGGAAAGCAAAAACAATAGGCTTCTGTGAATATTTGAATGATTCGAATATTCGAATGAATAATGTAGTTTTTGAATTCACTTCGAATTGAATTTAAATTATTGAAAAATTTTGACTTTTTCGAAACGAAGGATTAGGTGCATATTTGTCTGCATGCGACACCCTGAGTATCTAGTTTCAATGCAGTGAAGAAGTGCTAAGCCGTGAAAGCACCTATTTAATTGCATATTACTTTACAAGTAACTCCCTGGAAATAGTATCACTGCAGTGAAGTGGTGCAGAGTCGTGAAAACACAGTAAGCGAAAATACGCGCTGCCGCAAAACCTACTTTAAGGTTAAATGAGGATATTAGTAGGCTTGTGCGAATATTCGAATGCTTCGAATCTTCGAACGAATAGTAGAGTATTCGAATTCGCTTCGATTCGAATTTAAATTACCGTATATTTCACTGCAGTATAGCAGTGTTAAGCCGTGAAAGCATCTAACCAGAGAAAATTTGCTCTGCCGCGAAGCCCCACTTCTAATTTAAAGGGGCCCTGCTACACTTTTTGAACATGGTCAGCAAGCACTGCCGATCAGTAGTCGAGGCTATCGAAAACTCGCGAGCTAAGTATTATAACACAACACGTGACTAGGAATTCACAGTAAACTTTTAAAGTCAGATGAAAATTGCTCTTTTCTCTTGGCAAATGACGCCACAATGTAAAAAATTGCTTGTCACCACAGCTATTGTACCAGCCTTTGGCTGATTTGAGCATAATGTGCTCAAATCATGCATCCACACGTACATGCGCGATTGCACTGAAAAGCCGCGTATTCAAAGAAAAAAAGAGAGAAAGAGTGCACATATTTTCTTGCCCTATGCCATCTCTCCCGGATTAGCTTCAAGCGCTTTCATTGAGACGAGAAGAGAGAATGCAATAGCAGCATGAGAGAAATCTTTGCAACACCACTGATAGTGGACAGATTGTTAATTAAAAAGGCAAAAAGCTTCTTTAGTGAATCCATTCCATGGCTACTTGAAAAACTGTTGTAGGGTCCCTTTAAATGAACATACCCTTAAACCGATTGGTCATTTTTTAAGCTTAAAAGCTTGTTTTGCCAGCTTATACACTAACTATAGAATAATGCCACATTTTTCAGGTTATCATTTGCATCCTACTGAAAGTCAAATCCTGCTACTTTTCGAAGTTGTTGCAACTTCCTTTGAATGGAAAAAAAAGATAAAGCTCTTGCATAGACGCCTTGCTTCAAAAAAAAAAAATATTGTGGAGGTTAGTGTTGTCATAATAAATATGTCCGTTTTTTTTATATGTGATATATTCTATTTGAATTCGATTCGAAATTATTCGATCAAAATCACTCTTCGCTTTGAACATAAAATTCACTATTCGCACAAGCCTAGATATTACCCTCACATCGATTCATTTTTTTAGGTTTTAAGTTTAAAAGCTTGTTATACCGACTTTTATGCTACAAGTGTAGAAAATTTTAAAAAGTAACATATCTTAAAGGCTATCACTTGCGTTCTACCGAAACTCAAATCCTCCGACTTCCACTTTCTTTGACGTTACCAAATGGCATTTTAAACAGGCCCCATTTCAAGTTTTTGAAAATATTGTGCCGGTTAGTTAGGTCATGACAAATCTGCCGTGTTTTCTTCATAATATGCGACATATACACTATTCGAATTCGATTTAAAATTAGTCGACAAAAATCACTATTCGCTACGAACCTAAAATTCCCTATTCACATAAGCCTAAAGAATGCATTTCTGCTTAGATACAGCAAAACTATTGCCGCATAATCATGCGATTTGGACCAGCAAAACACCATATTTGCATCACCGGGTTCAGTCCACTGGTGATTTAAGGAGATAAAAGGGTTTCACCAGCACTGCGTTGTGTGTGCATGCGTTCGTGTGCATTGGACGCATCCTAGTATCCACAGATAATATTTCTGCCTGTGTACCAAGCTCCACGCACACATGCTGTATCGAGTCTAGCAATATATCTTAAATGCATTTACCCAAAAATACCACCGCAGCTGTTGTATCAGTTTTTTTCACCTACTTGCTTAGTCACCATGCTCTTTACTTCTTTTTTTCTCCAAATAATTTGGTGCTTTGTTTCACCGAAATTATTGAGGTTAGGGATGGTTGATGTTGAGTGTGGAAGCTCCCGTTATTATAAGATTCTGTCATCGTGCAGCGTCACAGCTGCTGTACGCTCGAAAGTACGACTTTTGATTTGTTTTCCTTTAAGTTGCTCACCTTTGAGCAACAACCTGCAGGTATACATGACGTGCAAGACAAGTCATCGCCTCAATGAGACAAAGGATGTTCAATTATTACGCGGACCACACTAATAGCTGAGCAAGCCATCGAAACAGTTCATTTTGACCATGGCGTTTGTTTCACAAAAGTTGATAACTGTGGTCTTCGCACCTGGAGTTAACGTTAGCATCAGTGACGCAACAGTAGAGTGGACCAGCACTTCACACAAATTAGGTTTTATGAATACATATTTCCCAGTGACTGTTAAGAAGAAATCCATGCGTAGGATCCGAGTAAATGGACATCTCACCATTTCCAAAATTTTTGTGTGAGCGGTAGTATAAATCTAATTTTCCAAATTTGTTAGCGATTGGCCATGAGACCTATTCATGTGAAGTCTCCTGTTAAAGAAAGCACCATTCTATCAAAACCCCTAGATTTTTCGCAGAAGCGGAGCAGTGAAACAAATGTTTTTTGCGAAACGCGCAGCAAATTGTGTTTTGCCGCACAGCAAATGTGCTTCGCACAGTGGCATGAAGGACACCACATGTAATGTTCTATGCACACACAAAATTTTTGCGTTTATAGCACTTACATATTTACAGGATAATTGTGTGCGATCCTTGAGCTTAAAATAAATTTTTTATGTTTACCCTGTTCAGAGCAGTGTTGATGGTTTTTCGTGCTACTGTTAATAAATTTATGGTTTCAAAGTGACCCTGTTTGAAAGATAGCTCCTTGTTGTAGAATTGGATACAACATCAACATCAGAAACTTTGGGGGCCATAAAAAACGTTTCCAGGACTACCCAAAAACGGCCAAATTTCTCACAGCCACTTTGACTAGGTATGCAATAACTTTGACTAGGTATGCAAGCTTCCATCTGGTACCTTGCAAGATTTGCATCGCGAAATTGAGGAGTACCTAATCACCCCCGTATTGCTGAAAGGCGGCCACGCAAAGATTACTCAAAAGAACGAAAAGCGGCGGCGAAACAGGCATGTCCTTGCTGTGATGTCACGTCATCACGACAGTAGTAATGCCAGTGTTCGTTCTCGGGGCTAATAGTGGAAGGCTCCGGAAATTTCAGCCACCTCTGGTTATTTAACATGCACATAGAGAGCACAGGTCTATAGCGGTCTGCCTCTATCAAAACCTGGCCACCAAAGCCAGAATTCGATCCTTTGACCTTTGGTTCAGTCAAGCATCATAACCACCAGACCACCATGCCAATTGTTTTCAATTTCCTCTGCAGGGATACGCACAGTAAGATGATATCTGCTAGCTTTGAGGGAGTTCATGTTATGTGTATTTCTGGACACTTCATTTCTTTCATGTAGTAAGGACTTTTATGGAAGCTGTGGAATCTGTTCCGTCATGAGCATTGATACACAAAATTAGGACAGTTCAACTTTCATCAAGCTATCCTGCTGTATCTGTTGCAGTGGAATGCTGAATGCCTCTAGTAGCAGAGAGCTTCATATTCAGAAATGTGCGACTACCTATGCCTGATTAACTAGGAAGCTAAGAACAGTGAGTAACAAAAGTTATTCATAGAAGTAAGTATAAAATATGTGGATTATTATTTTGGTGAACTGAAAATATAAAAGGTTAGTGAACAACCTGGTAGACGTTATTACATATTTAGGGTTGTTGTGACATCAACGAAGGCATGTTTTAAAAAATCCATGCTGCAAGATACAGTACAAGAAGAGAATAGAATTTTTGTGCTCAGTCTTACTCGTGCCGATTCTTTACAACGTGCATCAGTGCCAACTCGCCAATGTTTCTACCTTACTGCAGCGGCATGATTCAGAGGCTAAAAAAAAAAAAACAAGAATATGAAAACCAACTACCTTCTTTTTGATTGGACAAGGCATTCGACTTGGTGGAGCTACGAGACTCTACAGGTGGCTTGTTTTCCTTGCTGGCCAGATGCCTTCGTCTTGAGCCACCAAGTTTGGTGTCCTGGCTGGCTGACCTGATAAGCAATTGACACGAGAAAGCACAAAGATGGGACTTGTTCTCACAAAGGGTCATTTGTTGTGTAGCTGCAACAGTTAAAATAATGCTCACAAGAAATTTCTTTGTGTTTATTTATTTCATGACACCCTCCAGGGTCCAATAGGGCATTAAGGGGGACAAGTACATAGAAAATAGAGAAAAATACATCAAACACAGGGAAACAAAGAGAAAAAAATGAGTACCTGTTTTTTGTTATGAAAACATCAACCAGCTATGCCTTCATAATATTATCCGAGGTTTTACGTTCCGAAACCATCACACGGTCAGGAGGGATGCCGTAGTGGAGGGCTCCAGTAGATTCGTCTATGTGGAGATTTCCAACGCATGCCAACATGGCACAGTACACGAGCTTCTACCATTTCGCCTCCACCGAAATCCGAGCACCACAGCTCGAATTGAACCCGTAACGTTTGGGTCAGCAGCCAAGCACTGTAAACACTGATCCACCACGGCAGACTATATACACCTTCAAAAATACCCTGGCAGGCGCCCTAACTATGTAACTATTTTTTACATCAATAAGCACTTGTAGAAGCAACTTTTGCTTTCACAGGATGAATCATGTCATAGCAATAAAATGGCATGCGGTGTAGCTCTTCCAGATTCTCTTGATTGCGGGAGGAGAGAGAGCAACCACATGTGTTGATTTCAGGTACCATGCCACCTTTTTTTTTCTCTTTTCGTTCTCTTTACATGTAAACGCACAGGCGGAGACAGCCTCACAAGCACTCCATTGAAATGAACTCAAGTAAAATGCCACGGTCAGTGACAAATGCATGCACACACATGTCTTTCACTCACTCCCAAAGTGCAAATACTAAGAGAAAAAGTCACATTCAGTTTAAAATTTTGACTCTTCTTGCATCATGCAGGCATTTCACAGTTTGCAGATTCAGTCACTATAAAACGATCCCTGCTTCTTGCTTGTTTCGAATGCTTAAAGCTGGTGACAGGTGCTTTATTGGGATAGGCAACGGCCAGAGGTTTAGCTAAATGTTTCGTTTACTCATTCTGGAGTGTTGCCTAAAGTGGGTGTTTCGAGAAAGTTCATGCAGTATACTCGCTTTTCAGTGTTCCACTGTTAGGGTGATTGCTCTGTTCTGTTATAAAGCTCACCGACTGCGATTCCACTGGTAGAATCTACCAATGAAAAAAATTCGAACAGCATTTTGCGTCTAATGCTAGTTATGATGAAGTGACACTCTCATGGACGCTCTGGATTATTCTGACCATCCAGAGTTCAGTAACGTGAATTTAAAGATAAAGACCCAAGCACTCTAGCAAGCAGCTCTTATAAGAGTGTAGCCACCACTGTTTTGGAATACAGCTTGTGACGTATTGTTCAGTAGCAAGTATCCTTCTAGCCTTCCCCCCCTCATAACATTCAATTGCAACTGTTCATGTCTGTACAAGCTACACAACGAATATCATGTAAACTTCCATTCGTGTCTTGCCTAAAAGTATATAGCCACAAGATGTAACTTTTCACAGCCACCTAGCATTCTTTTAGGGATGTGCTGCGATGCAGATTTGTACTTTTGTTCGAACTGCCACATTGAAGATATGAGCATTTGTGCATAAAGGGGAGGGTTTAAAAGAGGAATTTGCTTGTGCTCGTTCGTACCTTTGGTTCACATTGTAGTTTCCTGCCGCTTCTACATTGAGACTGCCTTGTTGAAAATGTGCATGATGGCCAACAATATTCTCCAAGTTCACTTACGTATCCATTTGTACACACGCATGCTCTGAGCACACTCCTTCAAAAAATCTAAGCGCAGATAGTTCTTTTGAGTTCGCATCTCTAGTGAAGCCTCTGGAGAGAGAACTTAACTACACAGTGCCATGAACTACAAACAGGTTCAATAGGTCAAATAGAACTCAGCAAAAGCCGCTCTTTCGCAATTATGCACTGATGCTATTTCGGTGAACGCTGCAATGGCATTAAGAAAAGTGTACTTACTCAATGTTGCCAACGCTGGCAAGGGCATCCTTCTTAGGTGGTAACTGCTCTTTTTTCTCGTTCCTGTATAAAAATTAGTGCCTTTATACAGGAGTTTCAAACTAGGTATTACCCAATACCTCTATCAAAGCACAACACCATTGCAATATCACTATCATATACAACTTCACTAAGCTGTATGTTATGGTATCTTGAGAACTCGCAGCAAATACAGCAGACTCTCAGTAAATGGAAATCTGTTAAATGGAACTACTGCTTAACGAAGCTATTTCTTCTGCTATGCTTGGTTTCGGGCTTGTATTTTGTACCTATGTTCTTCTCTTAGAACTCCTGTTGAATGAAACATATTTTACCGATCCCTTTAGTTTCCATTTATTGAGAGTTTACTGTACAATACTTTAAGCATTTTTTGTTGCTAGAGCCATTTACTTAGAAAAAAAAAAGTGTACTTGCCCAGCTTTGCCAACACTCGCAGGAGCATCCTTCTCAGCTGAAGACTTGTCTTTAGATGTGCTCCTGCATAAAAATTAATGCCTTTATACAGGAGTTTCAGACTAGGTATACCCAAAGCCTCTATCAAGCACGACAGCGTTGCAATATCACTATCACATCAAACTTCCCTAAGCTGTATATTATGGTATGTCTCGAGAACCCACAGTAAATGCAATATTTTAAACTTTTTTTTTTTGTTGCTGGAGCCATTCACTTCCTAATGCTCAAATCAGATATTTGTGCTGTGTTGGACGCTTTGATGACAACATCATCCTCAGAATGATTGACTTAAGGTCGTGTCTGGCATGGTGTGCGGTGTAACATGAAATGTTGCTCTCGCAATGATGTTATTTTTTACTACTAATGTTTTTCATTGGTTAACAGTGAAGTGTAACTGGGCTTTAGTAGGAACGCAAAGCCTAAAAGAGGCATGGGTGAAGTAATGCTTCATTTTCAAGGGCAGTTATGTCTTTTTTTGAGCTCTTACCGTTACACGCGCTCATGAAGTTTCCAGGCGTTTTTGACACCGGCATTCGTATTCCTGTCAGTAGTGGGTGTACTGAACTCGGGGGCGGAACAGGGTACATGGGTTTGGGAACAGGAAAAAGTGTTTTTGTAGCAGGCTCCGAGCATCCAGAAAGACATCTTGGAGCAGACTTAGAGCAGCCATAAAGGTCTTTTTGAGCAAGCTTAGAGCACTCGGAGAGAACGTTAAGAAAAGATGTAGCCCCGTACACAGCACTTGTAAATATAATATCCGTGATTTACTAAAACCTCCATTTCATTTTGCGATACAGCATAGTGGAGGGCTCCGGAAATTTCGACCACCTGGAGTTCTTTATAGTGCACCTAAATCTAAGTACACTGGCCTAGAGCATTTTTGCTTCCATCAAAATTGCAGCAGCTGCAGCAGAGATTTGACCCTGCGGCTTTCGAGCTAGTAGTCGAGCGCCATAACAACAAGACCACCGCATACGGGCTGCACTTGTAAGGCAACATTTGTCGAATGCTGCATGTTTTCAAACACTAAGCAAGATTGTGCAATAGCCTTATTATTGCAATAGCGATCACTCTCGACAGGTTTTTATTTTTGCTGTAATGTCTCGTTTGAAGTCCAGATTGACAAAATATCTCCATGTGCATGATATGTTCAACCCGTGTGTGAAATCGCGCGAGCAGTGACAATCAATGTGGCTGAAGCAGAGATGAATTGAGCCGGCCCTTCTCCGTCACTCAAAAGGAGTTTGCCATAATATCAACCCACTTGGGAGGCCGCTCGTCGAAGAAGGGAGGAAATGCATCGTTTGGTTGAATGAGCATTAAAAGACGTGAGGGGGTCTAGAAGTACTCTTTGCTGGACTAGTTGGTTAACGTTCCCGAACAAGCCACAAAGGTTTGGCTGTTTCATGCGATGAAATAATGAGGGATGGGGTCAAGAAGAGCGCTACCCTTTCGTTGCGCGAAACATCCACATCTTTTCGGCTTCTACAGGAATGCAAGAGGTGTAGGGGTGTCGCTTGAGTAGCAACTGTGAACTTTGCTTTTAATGGCGCAGCCAACGATGCCTGGCATGAGCGCCAGCTCAGCAGCCATCAGCGGGCGGTGCACATACACTTCTATGTGCTGTACTCTCATCACGAGGAGGCTGTGATAGCCATGCGGAAAATGCTGCTCACCCTGGAGTGCCCACACTCTCTCACATTGGTCTTTAGTAGAGTTGCGTGAAATCAGATCCAAACTTTGTTGCTATCCCATTCATATTTCGCCCTTGCGATTTAACTGCCTTTTTTAGATATGTGCAGACACTTTCAATGTTAAAGGTAGCATGTGCGTACACAATGCTTAGATTTCTCCAATTTACAGAAGCATAGTAAATTTGGTTTGCATAAAACTACTGCTGATTGAGAGTTCTGACACCTCTTCACAGACTAGTGACATGCATGAACATTCTTACTTGTAACAGTGAACCGTACTGTAAAGCCCCCCATTTGTTAAACCTGAACACACAGGCGTCAACGGCAGAGTCGATAGGCACTGCATAGCGGAGCAGAATGACGAAATGAACTAGAATACGTGCATGAACTCGATTATGTTATGCTAATTTTTTTCTGGAACCAGACACCAGCACTATTTATTTTGAGCACATTTTTTCTTTCCCGTAGCGGCTACCAAGTAAAAAAAATTGCAGTTCTACCACATTCACAAAGCAATGAATGCGATAGCAACGAATTGACATGTTATACGTGGTTAGGCTGGCAGCTAACCTTTTGAAACTGATAGTGCAGAACTATGAAATGCTGGTATAAGAGAGTACGGGCACACCAAGAAGAGATGCTATTTTCGTAGCCTCTTCGCATTAAGAGCACAGAACGTGGAATGGTCCAAGAGCCATTCGTGTTGATGGCGTCCAAGCATGGAGGGCAGAAAAGTTAGGGCGCGTTGTTACGCTCGGGAGTTCACATCGAACGTCATTGTCTCTGCAAAGGCAATTTGTGTCAAGGCCAGCAAGCGAGCCCGCCTGACGTCATCATCTTAACAACGTCATGCAAGCGGCGCCATCCAGTCTGGCAAGTCTTACGCAATGCATGGCAACATCACTCGTCCTTGGGTGCAACCCAGAGCAGCGGCTCCGGAATTGAGGATCAAGACGCAACCTAGCGGCTATTCCTGACTGCTGCAATCTGACATTATGGCCAGCAGCACTTCTGATTGGACGTTGGTGACGTAAAGGTTCACCCGGTGCCTATAAAAAAGAGTCCAGCGGTGGGTTGCCATGCAGCAGACGTATGCGTCATAGAGAAGATATTTCGTCGCTTCGAAACCTTTCGCTGTCGGCGCGGCCGGTGTCACTGTAAGCAGCGAGTTTCGTGGCACCCTTTGTAACTTCGGCAGCGGCGTGCCTTGTAACAGTGGATGGCAGCTGCGGAATCGGCCGGCGCCAGCGACATTGACGCTGGTGAGTGCCTGATGTTTTCCCCTCAGTTCACCAGACTACTCTAGCACAGGTTATAGTAGTTTAGAGGAGGGCTGTATGAAGCATTAGAGTGAGCTTTGGTCGTTTAAAGCCAAGTCGGAGCAGCTTTGAAACCAAAGCTAATGCGAAGGGTGTAAGCACGGCAGTGTTAAAAATTGCTGGTGCGTAGGGCTGGTCGACTCGTAGTGGGTACGGCAAGTAGATTCTTAACAGGGGCAAACAGCAGGAGGCTAGTGTGAACGATGGAGAACCTTAAAGTGAAGGAACTCATCGAAATTCGTGAAAAACTTGGCCTTACTTTGAGCCGTGGGAGACAAGAGCAAGCGATCCTTGAGATCATCATGAAGGATGAAGGGGTGACGGCTGAGGAAATCTATGAGGCCTGGGCGGATATCAAAGCACGCCGCGAGGAGGCTGAATAGCGAGAAGTTTGCGAACGTGAAGAAGCTGAAAGGCGAGAACGCCGTGAAGATGCTGAGAGACAGGAGCACCTTGAGTTGAAGGGAATAGAACTGGCAATCCTACAATGTTCGCAGGCGCTTAGCATAGCTTCTGCGACAGTTCAGGTCAGCGGTCAAAGAATTCGGGACCAACTGCCACCGTTCGTAGAAGGCGAGGACATGGCGAAGTATCTTGTCAAGTTCGAACACGTCTGAGAGCGGAATGCCTTCGAGTGGTCTCTTTGGGCGCAGAACCTGTTAGCTCTTCTTCCCAGCGAAGTGTCCGCCATGATAACGTGCTTGTTGAGAAAAGCGTTTGAGAGCTACGACGAAGTTAAGAAAGTGCTTTTGAGACGTTATAAGTTGTCACCCGAGGCTTTCTGGCAAAGGTTCCGATATGCAAAAAAGAGGAATGAGTCACACGTTGACTTCGCGTTTCGTCTTAAAGCAGATTTAATCGAATGGCTCAAGGGCGAAGGTGTTTATGAAGATCGCGATAAAGTGGTAGAATGCATTGCACCGGAGCAATTCCACCACTACATCGAGGATGATGTCAAGCTCTGGCTGCAGGACAAACTTGGTGAAGTACAGTTTATCAAGGCAGCAGAGTTAGCTGAGGAGTATTATACTTGCCGAAAGTTGCATAGCAGGGCAGTGCGCGTTGAAAAAGATGAAAGCAAAGAAGGCTTTTCAAAGAAATCTGATTAACAGCAACGAACTCCGCATCGTTATTTCAGGAAGGGCCCGTGTCTTGCGAAGGACACTGTAGGGGAAGGGCAAACGGAAGCGAAGAAATCGAGTTAGGTTCCTAAACAACGCACTGATACCACACGGGCGTTTGAATCACGGAAGCCACTAATCTGCTACAACTGCAAAAAGGAAGGGCACATCACGGTAAACTGTAAGCAAAAGTTTGCTTTCGCAACAAGCGGAGAATCTGAAAAGAACATGCGGTTGTTAGAGCCGCATCTCCAAGAAATTAGTCTGAATGGGAAAACGTGTCGAACACTTCGAGACTCAGCGACAACCAAAGATGCTGTCCATCCTTTGTTTGTGTCTCCAGACGACTTTACAGGAGAATGGGCGTGGATCAGCCAAGTCGCCGAGGAGCAGAGTGCTTGCTTACCAACCGCTACGGTTGTCAATGAAGGCCCATTCGGTAAGCTTAGCACCAAAGCGGCTGTGTCTGCCGCGCTTCCCGATCGTTTTCCATATCTTTTTTCTAATAACTCTGAGCAGCTTCTCAAAGAGCAGGGTAAATCGTTCTTCTCCAACTTAGCCTACATGGCCCTCACGCAATCGCAAGCGGGGAAGCTTTCGCAGGAACTTGATCTCGTTTAGTGTAGTGAAACACCACCTGCTAAAGAGGCTGATCTGCGTGACCTTGGCAGCGAGGCGATGGTGCCTCGGACCGGTAATTCTCTGGATGAGTCACTCAAGCCGCCCGTCGCAGAAGCCGTCTCTGTCTGTGAAGGAGATATGACTCCATTGGACAAGAGCAAAAGGGGTGCAACGCTCTCACCTGTAGCGGAAAGTTGAGTGAGCTGTCGAGAATTGATCGAGAAACGGTCATTCGAGAGCAGCGTGAAGACCTCTTGATTAAAGCGCTA